CTTTAAAGAAGAATGCTACCTAGAAGGAATGATGGAAATGATGACTCTAGACAATGATCATCAATGGTTGCCAAAACAATCTGAGAAACTTTAACGGGAACTTTATAAAGGATGGATCAAAAGTTAACATTATCTGAACCCACTGACCAATCTTGAACATCAGTTAAAAAAAAAAAAAAAAAAGACACTATATGCCTCCTGATGTGATACAAGAGGAATATATGGCATTCCCTATGAGATAACCTTATGTCAAAAAACTGAATTCAAATCTACGCAAACTTTTAAATCTAACTATCAGTTCACAGGAGATGGAGGTAGAGAAAGTCATGTAAAAACTACTAAAATACTATCCGCCGAAGCCAGAATGAAGGAAATTGTACAGGACAAATGATTCAGTTTCTTCATTAAAAAAAGGTGGGAGAGGGTGATGACTGTTACATTAATAGATTTTTTTAAAAAACAACACACATATCAACTAAGTGCAGTAATACTTTGTTCAGATACTGTTTTGAGCAAATCATCTGTAAAAAGGTATTTTGAGGCAATTGGGAAAATATAAGTCTGAACTGATTAGAAGATAAAGGAATTATTTTTGTGTTAACTGTAATAATGCTATTATGTTTATGCTAAAGAAAATTCTTATTCGTTAGGTACATACAGAAGCATGGATGAGTGAAATTATACCATAGAGATCTGCTATCAAATAAGCCAGGAAAGGAAGTGAGGGGCATAGGGGGGAACAATAAAGACTGGCAAGAAGTTGGTAATCTTTTAAGGTGGGTGATGGATCCAAGGGAGTTCAGTATCTTATTCTCCTTACTATTTGTCTACATTTAAAAATTTCTGTAATAAAAAATTTTAAATAATTCAGAAAAATCAGCATCATTCAGAGAGATCATGAAAATTCAACCACTCTACCAACACTGCATTAATGCTTCTGCCATTGGCGGGATCCTTGTAGACAGCAGAGGTCAAAGTCCTCAAAATACTACCGTCAAAAACGGTACAGAGTAACCACAGTTGGCTGTGAAACTAGAGTTGCAGATCAACTAACTTACAATGCAGTTTATAAATTAAAGGAATGATTCTTTTTGATAAAAGCTACCTGTGATATCCAGAGGCAGAATCGCAAATAGAACTTTCCAACTTCACAACTTCAGCCGCAAACCAAAATAGAATTTTTATGTGAGTGCCTAGTGAGATTAAGACTCCTAGACCAACAATGGCTATACCTGTTGTTGACGTGTGCCATAGAGTGAATTCCAACTCATACAGCAACCCTATATGACAGAGTAGAACTGACCCATAGGGTTTCCTAGGCTGTTATCTTGACAAAAGCAGATCACTGGGCCTTTTCTCCCACGGAACCACTGGTGGGTTTGAACCGTTGACCTTTCGGTTAGCAGCTAAGTGATTAACATTGCACCTTCAGCGCTCTGTAAATGTCATTATTTGCTTTCACAGATATAAAATAATGCTATTAATGTTTATATTTAAATAAATTATACACATTATATACATGTAAAACAAAAATATATATAAAAAACAAAATATGCAACTTAAGCTAAGACGTCAAAGTCTGAAATGCAATAAATGCCACATTAAGTAGGAACATGGCTTAGCACTACCTCATCCCTGTATAGACTCTACAGTTAATGCAGGCCAACAAGACTGGGAAGGGTAATGTGTGTATATGATTGTGTGTGTGTGTGTACACACTCACCGAAGGTCCTTTTTCTATGGACTACTATCTTTTGAGAACCAAATTTTCTTGTAAGTAAAAGTTATCTTTAGATAACCATCAATATCTTTAATAGAAAAAACTAGACCTGAATTAGGAGTATTTTTATACCAATTATCAGACTGAGCAGTTAAGATACACTCCTTCATTCAGAGTACTTAAAACCTTTCAAGGGCTTTTACTGCATTTAGGAGTTAAGTTTACTCTCCCTATTCTTCTGTCTCCCTATATAAGCCCTATCTGAGCCCTACATATATATCTTTTCCAGTCTTTGTACCTATCTTTCCTAGTCTTATCTTTTGCGTCCCAAAACCTACACCCAGCCTACATTTCACAACTCACCCTCTCCAACACACATATGCACACACAGTACCAGTCTCTGAAATTCTAAATTCTAGAATTCTTCTAAGTCTAGATCAGCACTGTCTACAACAAATATGAGACACGTACATAATTTCAATTTTTCAAATTTTCAATTTCAAATTTTCACATTTGAAAAAAAATAAAAGAAACAGGTAAAAAATAATTATATTTTGTTTAACTCAATATATCCAAAATTACTTCAATATATAATCAATACAAAGGTACTAAGTCTCTGAAATCCGGTGGATATTTTATACTTCCAGCACATCTCAGTTTTGACTAGCCAGATTTCAAGTGCTCAACAGCAACATATGGTATTGGCTACTGTACTGGACAGCACAGTTCTAGTGGTCATGATCCCTGCCTTAGGACTATCATACATGTATTCCTCTGGCCCTCTAGCCCCATCCTCTCTGCCCTTTTGTCTGGCCAACGCCTACACATCCTTGAACAGTTTCTTTTCTTTCAGGACGCCATTCACTATTCCCATTTTCCTAAGTCTGACGCCCTTGCTACAGGCTTGCACTATCATTGTACTTACCGTGCTGTATTATCATTTATTTTACATTAGGAGCTATAAAGGACCAAATATGACTATTACTCCTGCTAACAAATAATTTACAATTTAGTAAACCCTATAAAACATACGACCATGTAAAACAATCACACGAAAAAAGTATAATGGAGGCTGTATACTGAAGAGTGTGAATACAGAATGCACAGGCTTCTATGCCAATTCCACCACTTACTAGCTCTGTGATCTCTGCAAATTAATCTTTCAAATTTATTTCCTCATCTACAAATGGGAATAATGGAACAATACTCAAGATGTTTTGAGGATTAAATGAGACAATCCAATTAAGAAGCTTACAACAATGCCCAAGATGTAGTAAGCCCTCAGCAAATGTCACTATTATTAATTTCCTAGTACAATGTCTGGACATATTAAGCAAATATTTCTTGACTGGATGAATAATACAAATATATGAAAAGTGCAATAAGAAAAGTACTAACAAAATACCCTGGATGTTCAAAAGGAGAAATCTTTGATGGGATCACGGAAGGTTTTAAGAAGGGATTAGCATTTGATTTGGGTCTTGTAAAACAGTAACGATAAGAAGAAATATAAACATACACATATATATGCATATATATATATGGTATATCATAAAATCACAAACAATGCAGTTGTCAAGAGAATCCTAACTTATGCAGGTATCTACCATCAGATTTTGCTGCTCAGAATGAGACTGATTTAGTAACTAGACTGTTGTACATTTATTCGTACTTGACAGAGTAATCCTTTTAAAACTATGACTAAGTCAACTTAGTTTTAAACTTTTAGCAGCAGTTGTTATTTACATGGCCTATATTTTTTCCAACAATTCCTAACTCCATACTCCTGGCTTACAAAGTGGTATCCTTTTGCCCCTAACTATGCTAAACTGATGTGCTATTTCATTGACAAAATGCTTTTCTTTTTTTTTTTTTTTACACACATTTTTAACCTCCTGAAATTGAAACTGGGATAAGCCTTAGATGTTCAATCAGTCATGGCTTAATTGTGTGGAAAACCTCCCACTGAAACCTTGACATCTGACTAAGTTCAAGAAAGGGTCAACATCAATACATCTTAAAAGCTGTTTTAAATTCTGTAGCTATGCTCACATGGATTGAAGCTGTTTCCAGGAATGTTTTTCTGTCCTCTCCTTTATATTTTGTTATCTATGTAACAAAATCTTGGGTTTTCTGCCATCCATTGCCCAGTAATTTAATCAACAAATATTTACTGAGCTCCTACTATGTACTAGGCACTATTTTTGGTGCTGGAGATAGAAGTCCTCACAAAATATAAAAACCTCTTTTATACTGGTTGTCTCCTGTGTCTTTACAAGAGGGGATTCAATAGCTGCAAATTCTAAAAATTCAGACTCTCCATGCCCAATCACAGACACCTGAAATCCCATCTCACAATCATTTTTAATGGTCGGAAACAGGAATGGTATGTAGTCCACTTACATAACCCTTGTGAAGATTATGTGCGACCAATGGCAGTACTGTCATATGATTACTGGGTAACTTTTTTCAAGGATGAGAATGAAGTTTCTAAACACTACGGTAAGAGAGAATTAAGAGGTCTGAAAAAGCGTGCACACATACATACATACATACACACACACACACACACACACACACACACACACAAAGGTAAATTCATTAAGCCATTCAGGAAAAAAGCGTCACAAATCTAGAAACTTTCCCACACGCCGATCCTCTTTAAATGTGACTCCTCCCCCCCACCCCCCACCACCTCCCAACCCCGCTATGTTATAGAAGATGCACTTTCCTGCCGAACAGGATGCAGATACTCCTTCCCTAAAACTTGTGGTAGGTAAGTAACTAAAGTTTACTTAAGGGTCGTCTGTTATCAGATTAATAAACAACGAAGTACCTCTCACCCCCTCTCCGCCGCCCCTTTGGGACTGCCCAGCACCCGTCACTGGGAAGAATCGCGGGAATCTGGATTCCCAGGGAGAGCACTACAGAGCGGCGGGCGCGCACCTGATTCGGCCACAGTGAGGCGGCTACACCTGTCTGGAGTCGGGGCAACCTGGAAGGACACGTCCCACTCTGGATAGGAAAACAATTCGGGATGAGTGCTCAGAAACTTCCGCAGGCTTCTTTTAGCGGCCGTGCTTCTCCCGGGTGTAGTAGCACCGCTACGCCGCAAAGCCAGGGCCAAAGGAGGCAATGGCCGGGCTTCAACTTGCCGCTGATACCGCCGAGGCGCTCCCCGCTGTAACGGCACCCACCGTCTTCCGAACAACCGCCTCCCGCCGCAACCGCCTCCCGCCGCCGCCTCACCGGCTGCCTCTTTCCGGACAAAACCACTCACCTGCGACCCTCCCAATACCTCTGCACCGTTGCCTCTAAGAAGAGAAGGGAAAAAAAAGATGCTTCATTTATTCCCCGCCCACCAACTTCACTCGCCCCCTGCCTCTCCACCCATTGGCTAGCGCGGCTGCCGCTCGCTTGATGCGGCTCGTCCATTGGTCTGGAAGGTATTGCCGTCTGGCTAACAGCCTGCCCCAGGCCTGGCTCACAATGGGAATCGAGTCCCAAACCCGTTCCGGGTTAGTGCCCTGGAATTCCGCCCCCTCGTGATTTGCAGCCTTCCTCTCTGCGCCCAGTCTTTGGCGAGCAGGTCTGTCTGTCAAGTGGACTCTTGGAAAGGATTGGCTCCTAGCGATGTTGGTGGGCTGTTCTGCCCGTTTGGGGCATTGGCTGCTGCATCTCAAACTCTGCTCCTGTCCTCGACCGTCACCAGTGATGGGTTAAGAGAACGTGGGAGCCTTATTTAGTTCCAGCCAGTCTGTAGCCCAGCATCACCCTCCACTCAATCACCTGCGAGAAAGTTTGGCCTCCCACCATCCCTCTGAGACTGCCCTTGACAAAGGTTACCAGTGACTTCCCATGGCCAAATCTCAGTCCTTATCTTAAACTCGACTCCTTAAAAAACACTTGGCTTGTTGACCCTTTCTTGGTTTTATTCCCTAATATGCTGCACTCTGGTTTTCCTTCTCCCTCTTCGCTCCTCTTCTCCGCTGCCCTTTGCGGCTGCCTCTTTCTCTGCCATCTCAAGTTCAGGTGTTACTGATGGATCTGCCTTCCCACTGCCTCTGTTGAGGCATCTGTTGACTCTCACCTAAATTCCTTCGGCAGTCTCCAAGTGGTCTCCCAGTGTCAGTACTGTCTGCTCTACTGTACACCATTCTTCACACTGTAGCCAAGACGCTGCTTAAAGTTCTTTAGTGGAATTTCACTTGTGATAGAGTACAAACTCCTTACAATGCTTCCAAAACACTAAAAGATGATGGGGCCCCTGCTTTCCCTCTGGCTTCATTTCTCATCAACATTTCCCTCTTATATCTCTTCCTTCCTCCGTATCTCAATTCCTTTACTTCTTTCAGTTCCTAGACTTGAAAGTGGCCTTGGGACTTAGTTTGCATTGCGGGGTTTTGTTTGTTTGTTTTCCTGTCTGGAAAGATCTCTCCTTACTTCTTCCCTGCTAAGCCTAGGGTTCATTTTAGAAGTCACTTTCTGAAAGAAGTAGTCCTTTCTCTCCACTCTACCTCCATTTCCAAGTTGTTCCTCCAACGTAGAATTGCAAGATAAAAGGACGCCCAGTTAAATGTGAACTTCACATAAACTATAAATTATTTTTAGTGTAAGTATTTCCCATCCAGTATTTGGTGTCCTGTAGTTTCATTTGCTAAATCTGGTAACCTACTACAATGTACTCCCATCACAGCCTGTACCTTTCCTCTGACAGCACTTACCACGTGTGAGTGGGTCTTCCTCAATCACTGTTACAATTTTTTTGACTAGCACAGTGGCTAGAACATGATAAAACCCGTTGCAGTCGAGTCGATTCTGACTCATAGCGACCCTATAGGACAGAGTAGAACTGCCACATAGGGTTTCCAAGGAGTGCCTGGTGGATTTGAACTGCTGACCTTTTGGTTAGCAGCCATAGCTCTTAACCACTACGCCATCAGGGTTTCCTAGAACATGATAGGCACTCAGAGAAAATATTTGGTAAATAACGTTCTAGGTGAATGGTAAATCCTTGTTGAATATTCCTGGAGGAACTCTCTTCTATAAAATGGGAAGTATTTATAAAATATACCCTTTGAAATGAAAGGACCCATTTAATCGGACAGTTTTTTACTTATATCTCTGTCAAGGAAGCAGGTCTATACTTTTGCCTAAGTAGAATTAAAAAATAAAAAGTAAAAAAGGAAGGAAGAAGTTTTTGTTGTTTAAGGGAAAATATGGGAATTTGTATTTTATAATTTTGGGGATTTTTGTTTTTTGTTTTGTGGTGGATTTTTTTGCATGAGTCAATAAGAAGGTAAGAAAACAACCCATTCCCATTATGACCAGACAGTTTCTCTCTGTCTCATTCCAGAGTCTGTCCGCCTCTTAGGTCTCTTTACTTAGCTCAGTAACAGGGAAAAGGCCTAGAATGAGTCAGTATGTATTGAGAACCTTCTGCTTTCATAACACAAACGGTTTAAGCTTTCCCCAGTTAACCTCTATCTCCTTACTGGTTGCAGGGACTTTTCCAGATACCCTCTCTATTTCTTCTCAGCTGTGTCTTGTCTGATTCAATGTGGACCAATAAGCGAGAGATTGAAGGTAACCCGAACTGCCCAATATTAGCACCTAACTACTAATCTAATGTTTTGTTCACTGATTTAAATTTTGTTAACATTAATTTCAGTCTAGAGATTTGATCCAAAGGTGCTTACAGGCTTATTCCAGAACTGTATTGTCCAATATGGTAACACTAGCCATATATGGCTGTTGAGCCCTTGAAATGTGGCTAGTGCAACTGAGAAACTGAATTTTAATTGTATTTCATTTTAATTTAAAACTGGTACTTGATTCAGTTATTGGATAACATCTAACTCTGTGTGGAATGATTCAGATTATGTGAATCTGCTTTTTCAACTGTAAACTTTTGAAATCTAAATACAGACCAAGTGTTTCTGATAAAAATTTAGTGTTTGAATTGAGATGTGCTATGAGTATAAATATACACAAGATTTTGAAGATTTATTATGAAAAAACATAAAATATCTCATTAATTTTCTGTATTGATTACATGTTGAAATTAAATTATTATCTGAGTTACCTAGTGCTACTATAATAGAAATACCACAAATGGATGGCTTTAACAAACAGACGTTTATTCTCTCACTGTCTAGTAGGCTAGAAGTCTGAATTCAGGGTGCCAGCTCCAGGGGAAGTCTTTCTCACTCTGTCCTCTGTCGGCTCTGGAGGAAGGTCCTTGTCATCAATCTTCTTGTGGTCTAGGAGCTTCTCTGTACAGGATCCTCGGGTCCAAAGGATGCACTCTGCTCCCGGCACTGCTTTCTTGGTGATATGAGGTTCCCCTGTCTCTCTCTGCTCGCTTCTTTTATATCTCAAAAGAGACTGGCTTAAGACACTATCTAATCTTGTAGACCTCATCAATATAACTACTGCTAATCCATCTATTAAATCATAGTGATAGAGTTTACAACACATAGGAAAATCACATCGGATGATAAAATGGTAGACAATCACACAATACTGGGAATCATGGCCTAACCAAGTTCACTCATATTTTTGGGGGACGCACTTCAATCCATGACAACTATTTTGCAGAATTGAGTTAAATAAAACATATTACTAAAATTAATTTTGCCTGTTTCTTTTTACTTCTTTAAATGTGGCTATTAGAAAATTTAATATTATATGTATGATGTCATTATATTTCTACTGGACAATGCTGTTCTAGAATATGCCTCGCCATAGTTTATCAGAGATCTCAGAATGGGAATACAATGGTTAACTAAAATATTTGTATTTCATTGCTTATTATCTAGCAAAACAGAAAGGGAAAAATAATTTCCTCCTCTCGCCTTCAAGTGCAGTCTAGTTAAGAAAAAAACAAGCCAGTGAACACATAGTGTATAATCCATACTCTAAAACAACAACTACATTTACTCTATCAACCTGTTTTTAATCTCCATTTTTGCCTTTGCACATTCTGTTTCCTCTTCTTGCAATGCCATGCTCCCTCCTTGTCTTGTAGTTATGATATATTCTAACCCTCCTTCAAAAACTGCTCTTCTCTGCCTATTCTAGAACTGAGTGAAGCTTCCTGTTTCGTAAGAGTTCCATAAGTATATGTATTCTATTATATTTAGATATCATACTGAATTGCTATTATTTGTGCACATGACATCTTTCCTTCTAGATTGAATTCTTTTGCCCTTGTATTGCTAGTGCCTAGCACAGTACCTGGTACCTAGTCAAAAAAATGTGCTGAAATGAACCAGATATTAGGTAGGATGAAACTCATTCTGTTTTGTCTTCTGTGGTATTCCACCAGATTGCTTACAATCTTCATCATCCATTAGGTAAATCATAATGGTTGGAAAATGGCATTAAAAGCTTTTCAACAGCAAACTTTGTGTTTCTAAAAAATTTACGTTCAATAGAAAACCAGTATGGCTCCTAGAGAAAATGTTGCAATTTTTTCCTTTAAATTTTGTTTCCCGTATACCTGGGGAATAGGAAATGTTAGGACACTAACTACTTAAAAATACTAATCATTATAGCATGAGGTAGGGATGGCAGATTTTAAGTTGCAAAGATCAGTCTGGTATCAACTCTTTAAGAAATTGAATGGTTCCTGACAGTCCAACCAGCATAAACTAGGATTAGGTTGCCATTTTTAGTTGTTAATCTGTGATTAGGTTGGCCAAACTTTTATTTCTACTAGAATAGCCTGTGAAAGGATAGGCCAATGATTATTAGGAGATTTATTAACAATCCTTTAAAAAAAAATCTTGTGTCTTCATTCCAGTGCACTTACATGGAGTTGTCCATCAAAGAAACAAATCGATTGCAAATCTCCATTTGCAATTTGGAACATGTGCCCTGGTGAGTTTCTGTTTGGAGCTCATTTTTTGAAACCATTTTTGGCATATATACATTTATGGTATATCTTGCCTGATTGGCAGTCAAAAAGGCCTCTTGTCAAACAACAATTTTAACAGTTCTTGAGGATGACCACCTGCTTCTTTGAGTTCCCCACAGAATAAATTTTATTTATGCAACATAGCCTAAATTTTACATCAACCCATCTCAAATATACCCTGTACACTTAGTGAAAATTGACCTAGGTGTTTTTGCATGATGTATCAACAAAACAACAGATGCATAAGTTCCATTTTAGTAGTAAAGATTAACCATACTGTTTTCCAATTGAGAAATTATTGTGACTTTTTGTCACCTCTTAGTTGTTGTGCCTGTGCATTCTTGATTTCCTTTTATGAGAATTTCACAGCTTTCTGAAACTGGAAGCTTTTGATTCACT